TTTAATATTCGGTGTATGATGTTCTAGATTTATCTTAACTTTTCTGTTGCCCGGAATAAAAATTCTGAATCGCAGCAGTACATTATCAGGTAGGCAATCTACCTGCGGTAGATCGCGGACCCCGTGCTGTTTGTACGGAAGTGTATGATTTAACTCTAAAGTATCAAAGTTATACCAAGTTTATTTTGATGTAATACTGTGGATTAATATAATAAATTTGGTTGCTCGTAAAAAATCGCAACTCTTAAAAAAATTATGATTGTTGAACTCCTTTTGGGTGTAATTTTCTGCGGTAAGTGCAACTCTGCCACCCTGGTAAGCATTGTTCAATAATTCGATTTGATGCAAGCTTGTACCTGATCTGCCCGAATAACCAATGGCAACCAATAAATAAATGCTAATTTCTAATGTAGACTGTAACCAATGGCAACTATAAATAAATAAAAATAAAATTTCCAATTTCTATCGTGAATCTCAATGTCCCTGTTTCAGCACCTATTTAAAATGCGAATTTTGGCAAATCCTTTCTTAGCGCACGTCTATATTATAATAGCTATCTGTATGCCAAATTTCAGCCAGATCCGTCCAATGGTTTGAGCTGTGCGTTGATAGCAGTCAATCAGCTTACTGTTTTTTATATACAGATATGGTTGCCATGGTAATATGGACACACACACACACACACACACACACTGACATACATTCATTTTTATATATATAGATTGATATGAAATCTTGGTAACCTTAGTAACCATGGCAACCTTGGTAACCATGGTAACATGGACACACAGACACACAGACACACTGACATACATTCATTTTTATATATATAGATATAGATAATTAGGATACCACAAATGTTGGAACGCACTTTTATATTATAGAATATTATGCATACATTATATACATCGTTGATTGTGTTTGGAATACTATTGTCATATTATTGCGAATTTTCCATTTGGCGTGTATACAGAGTTGAGTGAATATCTATAAAATTCACTCAACAGCCGACGTGAGTTATATTGTTATTTCACCCGTCGACACATGAAAGTCTTCCATTTGTCCACAAGAAAGCGCGTCATATAAAACTTAGTTGTTAAACTCTTGTGAAGTACAGTAAAAATGTCTTAGTTAAAATAACACCCACGGTATAGACTACAATACACATATTTGTAATACCAATACATTATATGATTATTATATAGAGGCTTGTTTCCGCATGATAAACTGAAATTGATAAGCTTTTAAGATTTATTTTCAGTAAACTATTATTTATTTAGTGTAAGCATTATGACTTATAAGTTATAATCTATGTCGGAAACACCGCAACAAAACATTCGCAGTGCAAATGTCTTCGCCCGACTCCACAGTGTGCGACGACTAGGTCGGACAGCGCTTACTATAACGTCCGTTGCTGTAGTATCTCCACATCCAAATCTGGTAACCATGATGTCCTGTAAACCTGCACCGGTCGTCTCGTTCTCCAGCGGTTTTGCCGACTCGGCATCACCGATTAATTGTGTTTCTGAAGTGTTCGGTATCGAACTCAAATGCTGGGCGTCGAAATCGAGTGGCAGAACAGGTGGCAAAGTCGACGTGAAGGGTAACAGAGAGTCGAAGTCGCTAGCTCTTACAGCAGCAGGTCTCGATTCTTCACTGTTAGTCGATGATTCGGCCGATGGCGAATCCGTCAAAACTTGCATCTCGGTGATAGAAGCGACGGACGGAATCGCTTCTGGTGCATCGCCCATGGACTTTGTTTCGAATGCCATGTTTGGCATCGATCTGCTTCGCCTACGAAAACTCTTGATTTCGTCGATGTCCAGGGTTATCGGACGATTTTCAAGCAGATCACTAAATACTTGCGTCATTGAAGCGGTTTCGGACAGAGGGGCTTCACCAGCGGAAATCGACTGCAGCGAAATGTTAGGCAACGATGCGTATCACCTGTGAAGCTTCAAACTGGTGACCACACTCTCTTCCAACACTTTAGGCCGATTTTCCCGGAGGTCTTCAAAAACCTGGATCATGATTTCTGTGGCGGACTGTTTATTAACATCGGACGAACTCTTCACGGCTTCGTTAGTCGACATCATAATGTTGATCTGATGTTTATATATTATTAGGTACGTAATAAGTTTTGCACTGTATTATAATATAAATGTTAGTTGTAAGTTATAACAAATATAGGTACTGATAGAACAGACTGATATGCAATTAATACGAATTATAAAACAGCTTCAGTGTAAATAATATTATTATTAAATAATATTATTTACACTGAAGTTGCCCATAGAAACACGATTATTATAGTTTTTTTGAAAAATGTTCAGTTTGGAAAATTATATTTTTAAAAGAATAGCTAAAAAAAAGGATTGTATTTAACATTGGTAAATACTAAATATTTGTTAAAGGTTTATGGATTTTGATAAAAAAAAAGGTGCTCTGCTGTACAGTAGGTTACAACTGGGTCACTGTATAATGGATGGTATTAAATTTGAATTCAATGATATAATATCATTGTATAAGAAAAAGGATTCTGAGAGGTTTGTCAGTCTACGTATATAAGACATATTATATACATATATGGTATTAATATATACTATGGTATTAAAAAAAAAATTGGCCAATAATAAATTCCAAATTAATCATATCACAATATTCATTAGGTACTTATAACGCGTTATACATCAACAACAAACCCTGATACTATCATAGATATATAATAGTGTACTTTAGAAGTTTCAAGTACCCACGAATAATATTATACAATCACAACAAAATAACTAAAATAGTTATTCATTTATATTTTTTTATTTTTTGGTTACAGAATTAACTACTTACGTGGAATCTTGTTTTAAATTATTAATTCCTAGATACCTATAAAAGTTGAACATTTTAAAAATAATTATTCAATTTTAAATTTCATACATTTTGTCAAAATTCGATATTTAAATGCTTATAAAAAAAAATTGTTCCCATGTATTTTTAATATTTTTCAACTGATATTGTAACAATATATCAGAAACCTTGTATTACATTTTTACACTTTTTGGCCCAACAGATAAAACTTTATTGATATTTATAGAAAAAAAAACTAAAAAAATTTAAAACTGAAAATGTCCGTAAACAGCTCAAAAAGCGTCAAAATATTTTCAAAATTGTATGGTGTAAAGGAACTGCTAGTATAACATTCAGTGAAATGTTCATGTATCTACAGCTATTCATTTTTGAATTACAACAAAATACGGAAATCACTACATAAGAAATCGAGTGAATATCCAGTGTTGTAAAAATTTGAATTTCAAACGCTCATAAAAATTTAATTAGGTTGACAATCCACTTGCAGTGGATTGGATTGCAAACCCAGCAAGGTGCTTACTTAATTACGAATGTTTTATTCGGTAAAGCATGACTGAGTATATTATACATTTTTAGCAACATGATTGAGCATAGAATATTTTATGCGATGTTGTCACATTCACATGGCCAACATTTTGTAATTTCTTATTTTCAAGTATTATTACAAAAATTATTACAATACCAGACGCGAGCCTTGAGTTGAGCCCAGCTTTATCGACAATGTTATCGATTAATAAATTAGTTCTGGAGCAATTAAGTTCCTAGGTTTTAAACACTTAAAATTGGGGGAAAATATAAGAATAAAAATTAAGATACAATTCCAAAAATATTAGAAAAATAATATCAGTGTTCGATCACCCATACTCTATAGTATTCTTGACTTATAAACCATGCAGTATTATTTTTAATTCGTACCATATTTTGATTTTATTATTTTTATAACTATTATTATTATTATTATTATTATTATTATTATTATTATCATGATTATTATTATTATCAAACAGATTTATGAAATGGGACTATTTTATTGACTATGAAATCATGTTATTTTTTTTTTTGATATGTTAATTTTGAACTATTATAATTATTTTTGTATAATATAGCTTAAAATGGAAAATGGCAACGATTTTTTATGTTCAATCGTGTAAGTTTTCTTTTGTATACCTATTTCCTTTGACGCTTACAATTTGGGTCAATCGTGTCTCAGCCGTTTCATTGACTCGTTGTTTATGATGGGTATGTGTGGATTCCCGAGACAACGCAACGGTCGAAAAACGAGCGTTGGAATAATATCATTTCTACTATTTCATACATGGTTTTGACTTTTGACCAAATATAATATACAGGTCTAAAATTATTTACAATCATAATCTTAATAATAATTATGTAAATTAATAATTGTTTCATTTTCTCTATTTGAAATCTTTTTGCATCTCGCGTTGAGGGGCCAATATAAGATTTCATTTTGGGCATTTTGTTTTTATAATTTGCATTCGTTTGTCAAACAAATAAATAATTAAATAATGCTGTTATTATCGCGATAGTAAATATTAATATTAAATATAAGTATTGATAAACAATATTATAAACGCTCGAGAAGGTTATAGTCGCTAAGTTTTCTGATTTCAAATTACCAATAGCAACCTTACGATAAACAAAAGTATTATGACAGATGTCGCCACTATTGTATTTTTGCCTTCCAGATTTCCTACTATTCCGGTGAATTTTCATAAAATGTTCATTCGTAAAAACTTTGTCCTGACAATATTATGAACACAACAAAAAAAGAACCAACCAAATCGGTCGGGTAATTTCTGAGATTAGCAGTTTCAAAGTATATAACTATAAAAGTAGTTTCACGTTTATAATATAATAAGTTATAAATTCTAATAGAAGATATTATTTATATACTATATATATTATAGTACAGTGGCGCAACCAGGGGGTAGTTTAGGGGTCGTAACCCCCCCCCCCCCCCGAAATTTTTTTCTAGTTGCGCCACTGTTATAGTAATATGATAATATGGATACAAATACTATATGAATCTACGACTATCTATAATCACCAGTATTATAATAGTAGTTGTATTTGTATTAGCAGACACAACATATCTAAACTACATAGATAATAAAGATATGGAAAGGAGAATGCAAAACTCCACACTTCAAAAGGCTAGAAGAATACATAATAACACTACCTCTAACTTAGAAAATACAATAAAGCTCAACAACTTCAAGTTCAATTGTTCAGGAGTACTTAAACACGAGCATGCTATCACTCCTCCTTGGGTGATGGAACTTCACTCTAATACTGATCTCTCTCAACACATCAAAAGTGAGACTATGGACTATACTTTTAGAAATCTGACACTTTCATTACTTGAAGACTATCAGGATTACATCAAGTTTTACACCGACGGTTCCAAAACTGAAGCAGGAGTTGGGGCATCGGTATACTTCAACAATACACCAAAAATGATCAAATTTCCTGACTTCTGTTCAATCTACACAGCAGAAGCTTATGCGATTTATCACGCACTTGAAACAATTCAACAACTCAAAATTGATAAAGCGCTCATATTAAGTGACTCTCTTAGTACTATCAACAGCATAAGCAACATAAACCAACCCAATGCCATATCCAGAATGATTCAAAATCAAATTTCCCTCCTAAATCACAACAATCAAAACGTGTTACTGGTATGGATTCCTAGCCATATCGGAATCCCTGGCAACGAAACAGCAGACACCTACGCTAAAAGAGCCATAACCTCCCCCGAAGCCTCCTTAGTGCAAATCTGCTCCCTGGGCGATATCAAGGGAGTATTACAGTCCCTGACGCTGCAACAATGGCAGCATCGTTGGACATCATCACTCACGAAATTAAATGTTATCAAACCTTCCATCAACCCTTGGCCAACACTCATCACCAAGAGACGTCATGAAGTCATAGTCAACCGACTTAGAATCGGCCATACGTGGCTTACACATAACTTCCTCATGAGACATGAAGATCCAACCCAATGCACAACCTGCGGGGAAATCATCACCGTCGAACACGTTCTTCTTCACTGCCGGAAATACGTGGATACCAAAACCTCTCTAAATATCCCGGACCACCTCTACGAAATACTCGGACCCGACCTCAAAAACTTCAATAACACCCTAATGTTTTTACAGCAAACAAAACTGTACAACCTTATTTAATTACATTGTTCTTTTTTTTTTTCTATTCTATTATTTATCACTATTTTGTACACCCTTAAACTTAGGATTAGTAATAACCATAATTTTTTCATATCCAAAAATGTAAAAATGTAAATACCGTAAGCCAATAACCTTTGTTGTTGAGGCTTTAAATAAACAAAAAAAAAAAAAAAAAGATATGGATAGGCCGGGCCTATGTTAAATATATTTAAGAGGAGGTAATTGAGGCTCCTTTATCTATAGCCATGATTGATAGTCGATACTCGGTATAGGTATATTTTATTTGGCCTCAATTGTTCCCCTCGAAGACCTCTGATAAGACCATCATGTCCTATCCATATCTTTATTATCTATGTTAAGCTACGACATAATGTGATTTAAAATATAAATTACCATTTCATTCACAGAACATAGATATGATTATAATTCAATATATTTATTTTTATAATTAAATACCTATATAAATATATTATGTTTAACTAACAATCTTTTTTTTTTTTAAGATAGTAAATTAGTTGAAAGATAGTGGCATTAATATTTACTTTTGCATAGCAGTCAGCAGCTGTACAAATATTGTCCTGCGTACAGATTACGGATGCAACATAAAAGAATTTAATAGGAAATCGAGCGGGACTCTGAAATCGACTGGTCTGAAAAATAAAATTATATTTTCATGAATATAAGAAACAAATTACATTTTGTTTCAATAGCCTATAATATAAACCCTATATATATATACTTACGAGTTAAAATATGTTAACATTATTTGCGCGGTAATAGCTGTTGGAAATAATTTTCTTCGGGCGAAAACCAACAATCTGTGCTCAGAATAAATTATTTCCTTAAGTTATGTCTCATCACTTGTTCTACACTTGTACAGTATATTAATATATTCGTCGCATTGACGGGAAATATTATTATACAAATATATCTCGAAAATTAAACTTGAAAATAATAAAACGCCCAGGACTAAATCATCGCCCTCGCGACTACCATTTAGGGACACCCTAACATCCTACGCTCTTACGACTATAATATATTGTTATTTGTTAAATATTCTTTTGAGGCCTTTCTTGGATTACAAACGTAGTAAATAGTAATAAAAAGCTTACGAGCATATTTAAGCAGTACACGTACAACTCGCATACACCGCAATCAGTAATCTTTATAATGTACTTACTCAGCAGTCACATGTGACACTGCTCGTCATCTACCACAAGTCACTATATAGACCAAATAGTCATCTGTTTTAGTTAAAATCATGTTATAATAATTCTCGTACAACCGAAATATTATTTATGTTCATTTTTTTATTTCGTAAAAAGCACGTGCTTAGTCTGGTGTTTGATTTTTTTATGGAAAAATATTTTATTATTTTCACTTAAGAAAAACGAGACTCAATGCTGTTATACCATTTCTTAAAATAAATAACATTTGTGTAAATATAAAATAATTTATTTTTTTTAATCAATTAGTTTGGAACAATAAAATAGGATTGGTATTATGTGTTTTAAAACGTTTATTGACCGAGTTCCTAAAATAAATACGAACCGTCGTTTCAGGATAAAGAAAAAAAAGGTAATTATAAATTAATTATAATACAATCATTTTATTATTTTACGAATTATTTGTACAGATATTATAAGTAGTATAAACATTATTATTTATTACTAATAATTTATTAAGTATACATTTTTTCCATAATCAATGGTATAGGTAAATGTATCTTTAAACCTTAACGATAAAAAAAATATCACTTATTTAATTGATTTTAATGTAACCTTAAAAAAAATGTAAGTATAGGTAATTACATTTTATGAACTAATTATGTCAGTATCACTCATTCATTCGAATATAGGTACTTAATATACATATAACTTCAAGGCTTCGTGAAATTTATAATTTATTTTTCGTAAAATATATATTGTATTTAGAAAGAAAAATTATACACCCGTACAGCCTATACATATATAGCTTCTGGAGTGTAGACAATTTTAAAGAATTAATTTAAACTGTTGTTCTTTTATTTTGTAGTAGATTAATCGCGATAATACATCATATTATAACGGTTTTATTAATGTATTTATCTCTATAGTTGCCAATGTTTCTACCAATTAGGTGTTTTATATTTTCCTAGCTGCGTTACTCCACCAATACCGTAAAATTATATGACAAACATAATTTTTATTTTATTGAGGACACATAACTATCATTTAAATAACACGCGCTAGTATATAATAAAACAAGTATATCAAAAATGTAACCATAAAAATTATATAAGTTACCTATAATACAATAGGTACTTAATTTTTAGGTTGAGTTAAAACAAAAAAAATAATAAACAACGACTCATACATTATATAAGTGATAAAAAAACGTTAAACATTTAAAATTTTAAACAGCAATAACATTTCCACTATACATTTCAGTTCTTTACTTATCGGTAGGTAATATGCCTACTTTTATCTCATCTATGGTGACAATCGTGACACAGATAAATGAGTCTGAAGTCATTACTGCAACAGTACATTTTTTTTTTTTTTTACATCTGTATCCAGAAACTGCTGCCAGTATTATTTCACGATGAAATCTTTAAACAACTTGTTTTAATTAGCGAGTAGAGTTTTCACACAACGTTTAGTTTCAACTTAAAATAATTTAATAATCTATACTTTTTACGTCAAGTCTGGCTTGCTGAGTAATGACTGTAGTAGACTGTAGAGTATTATAGAGTATGGTCGATTATAGATAGTTACGTACACGCAGTATTTTCTTTAATTGAATTTACGCATTATTTCATTTATCAATTTATCATATCCGAAAAAAATGAACCCTTTTAGTTTAAAATAAACATATAAGTAGATGCTATCTATGTCCTATAACCTGTATTAATAATAATTAGTATAGAATAGTGATTTTTTTTTATTTCATTCTCGAGATATTAGCAAACATGTGCTCTATTTATTACGTAATAGTATAATATTATAGTAAATTTAAATTACCCAAAGCCTATAATATAATAATAGTGTATAAGTACTCTGGTCAGAATTCTTAATATAAATTATTGTTTGATAACGTTTTTTTTTTTTTGCAGTTTATAATATGAAAAGTCAATTAACTATGACGTCGTGGAAAGATATAAACCGTCATACGGAAAAGCAATTATTAGTTTTATTACATTTGAATTACGGTTGATTTTAATCATACGTCACAATATATTATTATAATAAATACAATTTGTAAAGTGCTTAAACACTTAACTGAGGATAAAACTAAATATTTTCAAGTATTTATTATATCATAATATACACTATACAGACATTTTCATAATTACAAATTTCTGAAACCAAATTTATTTTAAACATTTTGGTACTCATCATAATTATTAGGAGTGCTATTTATTGTAGCGAAGTGCCTTTTTTTAGCCAATCGTAAAACCTAGTTTTTCCATAAACAAAGTTATGAATTATGTAACAACGAATTTAATTAATAAACTTTCATTTAAATATATGTTTTTTTTTTAAATTTGTATGTAATTTATTACATTTTTATGTAATTTTTCCTTCTTTTATTGCATATTAAACTGCAATCTTGGGGGTTTTTTTTAAGGTTTTATATTGCATTAAATTTACAACCTTACTAACTTGTATAATAATATTTGATAAAAAAAACGTTGTTGATTTTTGTTTGTGATATTAAGTTTATAGAAGAGATTAGTAAATAAATGTATAACAAATGTTGGACTAAAATCGTATTAAAATTTAAAGTAATTCAGTATTTACTATTTACACATTCAAAACATAACAATTCTAAACATTTTTACAACACTAAAGCTTATTGTTTGACTATAGCTAAACTTTAAGTATATTAACCTATATAGTTTGTACTTATCATAGTTTGTACAAATTATTCTTTTACAGTTTGACACGTTTGATATAAAAGTGAAACCGTCAAAACTATTAGTCTAAAATAATAGAATTAGCCTAATTCTATACAAATATTAATTACATAATAATATAGTATTATCCAAACAATATGTATGTGTATTTAAAGTCTCTAAAATCAATGTTATTTATGTGAATAAAATAACCTCTAATTAGTAATACTACATTATTGTCTAATCGAAACCACAAAAAAAAAATGTGAACAACCTAAAAAAAAAAAACAAAAATCAGTCCAAATAACACGTGATAAGTGTCAGGATATTATATGAAAGATAGTCAATATTGTAATCATTTCTATGTCAATAAAACTATATTGTACTTAAAGACAAATAATCATATATATCTTATACGTTCTGCAGAAGTCTAGATTGAAAGTGACGTCAAATATAAGTTGATACTTATAAAACGAATAATAATTGTATTGGTGCTTATACCTACAAACGTTATGGCAACTATACGATGTTATTTATACGTGCCCACTATGCTGTTATTGTAGAACCTTGAAGTGAAGACGGTAAAGTAATAATGTATTACTAATATTATTATTAATCAGTAAAAAAAGGTAATATTCTTTCATTAAGGTTATTAAGTATGTTGTCTGATATATGTCGAAACACTATCAACTACTGTCGTTATTTAAAAATACTTTCAACATTTATTAATTATGAAAACGAAACACGTGGTTGGTACTTCTAAAAAAATTAATCAAAATTAAAATAATATTATTTATTACATTTATATAACTATAAAAGGCTATACGCTGTTTAAACTTTAAAATAAATGCTTGAACAATAACCAATACCTTTATTTATGATAAACGCCAGACAGGTTATCGACTCCGTATGACCTCCTTGAATAAACTCCATGAAATCAATTCTATATATTGCTAAATCCCAACTACAAAATATAATTACGAATATTGTATATTTTACTGTGCTCGTCTATAATAAATAAATAGCTTTGCAGAAATAAAAACTAGACGAATTAAAAAATATCTTTAATATTTAAATGTTATGACCTATATAAAACATAAATTCGGTTAGATTATAAAAAACT